GGTGGGGGGGGGGGGGGGGGGGGGGGGGGTTCAATGCTTCTGTAACTATATTCCATTATCTCCTGGAAAGTGTTATTCTCTCTCTTTTCAATTAATTTAGAGCTTAGAAAACCACCAAAGATTTAGTGAGTTAAATGTTTGTTATCCAGGTACCTTACCAAGATTCAGCGTATAGTAAAGCAAGTCAAGTGATTGGGACATTAATCTCTGGAAATGGGTTCAAAATAAACCTGGATCTCTAGAGAATTCTCTTGTTTTCGCCCGGAAAACAGGGGTCATAATATATACAATTTGCAAAACAAGAAAGATGCAAAGTCCTGTGCATCTAATTGAAGACGAGTTCAAAAAGATCACCTGAGATTAATTTCACTGCTGTGCGGTACCCTTTCGAAGCTGTTGGTTGAAGAATACAGGATCAAACTCTGAAGGTTCCATCATATTTCTGACCTCTTTAATGGGTGCTGGAAGAGGACCATATTAAGGAGCTGCAGCATATGGATCATATTTGGCAGGAGTGCGGCAGCAATAAATCATTCACGGTGCTGTATCTTCATTAACTCTGGAAGAACGGTCTCAATCAGGACGTCCAAAAATTCATTCATAATATAGTTAGGCCAGGAATGCAGTCATATATGTTAAAATGCGTGCCATTAACAAAATAAGATAAATGTTCTAGTTCTTGACATTCCATTTCTTGTTAAATCAAGTGTTCAAGTGGAGGGTAAAATATCTGCATTGATCAGCTACCTTAAAGCAAGGGTGGGGAGAACCCAAAAGAGCATTAGAAGAAACAGGACATAGCACTCTAGAATAGAAAAGAACCAAGAATAAAACACAATTCTATATAAAATACCTACAACTATAGGCACAAGGGATAGAAGGTTGACTATCTTGGCCTGCAGCCCATGCAACCCTATTTTATTCTACTTTTAAGAAATTAGAAAAATTGGGTGATCTGGGCCACCGACCAGACCCATTTTACAGCTCCTTGTGCAACTAAAATCTCACAAAGAAAACTTCCTACTGGTGCAGTTCCTTGTGCAGGTATCACATTTAGTGCTTGTCATCTTTGGGAATATCTTTCCCTGGTATCTCTTTTGGTTTTGCCTTCTCCATTTCCCTGCAATGAGAAACATGCATAGTCCGAATTTAGGTTGACAGGAAGAAAACTGGGATCATGGTAGCCTGGAATTAGTAAAAGAATTGGGAACCACTAATTCCATACAAAGAAAGTTTGCTCAAAAGTCACAAGGAAGATCTGAGACCATCTGCCAGAGATTAGAAACCAGTAATCCACTCAAGAAGGATTTTATATAAAGATTTTGCCATCATTAGAGGCAAATAGAACTTGAAATCTAAATTGCATTCCTATCAATATTAATATGAGAATTTGATTTTCCAAAGAGCAGAGTAGTGTTGAAGGGTAAGAACAGGAACGAGAGCTGGGTTGATGGAGAACAATTTGTTATAGAGACAGAACAATGTATTTGGGCCATGTGTATCTTATCAAGCTAGCAATAAAGCAAAATGCTGAAACTGATAGATTCCTCACCTTTTGAAAAATCATAGAAGATTTCAAAGATCAGCTAAATAAGACTACCCCTAGCCATATAAACGGCTTGGAATTTAAAAATTGATTAGTGAAGAGAGTGAAGATCATCTTTAGTTAGAGTTAGGCCCTTTAACCATATCTGGTGCTCATCATAGCACAAACAGAAGTCAAAGAGCAATCATCATGCTAAATACATCCACTTTGACTTCAATCTATTACAAGCAAGACATGGTTCAGTCAAGAGGCTGAACAAATATTGATCTAACAATTAAATTAGACAAATTCTACACTTATCTTCACAATGTTCCATTGTTCCATACACATTAGCCTTTGGCGAATCATGAGGTATATTGCAGTTTTTGGCACCTAAAAATGATATGTTTGCAGAATAAAGGATGACATTGAAGAAATAAAAGCAAACTTGTGATCAACAATACCAAATTGACCACAGTATACCTCATTTTAACTTCATCTCTATGCATCTACTACCCCATCCATAATACCTCCATGAATGTCTGACAAACAACTAAAAATTATATCATTATATGTCCTATCCAGCTGTTCAACTGTAAATTTCTTATTAATCTGCATTTAAAAAAAGGTATTAAGATATAGCACATCGGAAAATTCTTCTCCCTCATCTAAATTTGTCAAAGGCTAAAATCTTGAAACCAAACGAACAACAAACTCGTGCTAAATGATGCAAAATCTTATGATACTGTACTCATCCTCAATCATTTACAAGTATGGAGATGCAAAACGGATTTATCAGACACCTATCCTCAATAGGGTTTGTGGAGTAAGTTGCAGAATATGAACTTGTATGATCCTCACCGCTACAGTCAAATGTTTCAATGAAGAAACCACGTCAATGATTTGGGGAAACTAACCACTTTTCATGTCTATTATAAGTTGCATAGGTGTCTCAAAATTACAACCAAAGTTGATGGCTTGAAGCTTGAGTGCAAGGCCCGGCAAACGAGTCATGCAATCAAACTGACAAAATAATACAGTAGAAACTTTGGTTTTATGATGTGTATACAGAAAATAATTTTAAAATCATTCATATTCAATAGGAACAAAAAGTATATTAAAAGATAAATACAAGTGAATTAGTGGTTGGAGACCGTACTTGGCTGCAGTTGCTGACTCTTCTTCGAGCCAGTTGCGAATGTGACGAACGTTACGGCGGAAAACGGAAGCAGATTGTTTCACATCGCTTCTCATCAGCAATACCACCGCGCTGACTCCAACCACCGTCAGTATGAAATTCGTCAGCGCCATCTGACTAATCTGATTGATTCTACTTCAATTGACGATTCTCGGATTTGGCTATCGTACTCTGTACCCGTTTATCGGATCAAACCACGACTAATCATTTTGTAGGGTTTTTGAATTGAAAACTGGAAACTTGTTTACATGAGAAGATATCAGGAAGGCCAAAGTCATATCCAAATAGGGATCTCAATTTTCATTCGCGAATTATTCTCTATGCTGCTCTGTTTGGATTATACTTTTTATCAATTTTGCTACATGTACACTATAGTTTACATTTTGTTACGTTATATTATTCTATTAAACAGTTTAAATTTTAAACAATTTCTTCATCCTATTAACACTTGACAACAATGCAAGTGTCAAACAAAGTATCAAAAATCGTTGTACAAATATTGTAAGTCAATAATAAGTTGATAGGTAAAAGGTTTAAGTCTTTGTTTGAGCCATATTCTTTTCAAAATTTATTTTTGATAAAATAATATTACACGTAAATCCAAATTTATTTCTTAATTTTTAACCAAATATTCTCCATCAATCACAATTTAAAAATATATTATTTCCCTTAAAATAATGTCAAACAAGGGCTAAGAGCTGTTTTAGCCTCATTTTAATGTATAAAAGCATTTTGGAATAATAAATTGATGAATAATGTATTGTTAAAAAATAAAGAATAATTATAAGTTTGCTTGTGATATTATTTTATTGAAAAACGCTTGATTAAAAACAAGAGAGAAAAATGTATTTGAAAATAGAATAATGTTAAGTGTACATTGTGGGGTTGATATCGTTGTGTACATCCCATTGGAGAGAGAGAGAGATGATGGAATCGGTGGCCATGTGGGAGAGACGATGGAGTAGACGGCGGCTACGGCTATGGGTTTGGGGATTCTTTTGGTGGGTGTGATGAGTGGTGTGGTAGAAATGGTGAGGTGGTTGGTGTGACGTCGACTGTGGTGGTAACAGCAATGTGGTGTGGCGACGTTTTCGACGACAGCTAAAGAAAGGAGAGAAGATAGAGAGAATTTGAATTTTAGGGCTTAGAATTGGGGTTGATATATTTTATATTAATATTATTAGTTAAATCAATACCTGAATTCTAAATAAATAAATAAAAACTTTTTCACCCGATTTTTGCACTGTGATCTTGAAATGCCTGAAAACTTGTAATTTCCTCATTAGAATAAACATGGGGTTTTAATGGACTAGGCTTTAGGTATTATGTGGATTTTGAGCAACGAGGCAACAGTACATAGACGACAGTAACAAAATGATTTTTTTTTAATTTTTTTAAATTTTTTTGGGAGAAATTGTTATATATTATAGCATAAATATAAAATGTGAAAGAAATAATCAGATTCAATAAAGTGCCCAAGTGGTGGGAAATATGACATTTGTGTGTGACTTCGAGGGCTCAGGTCACTCCCCACGCAATTATTAAAAAATCTTGATTGGGGCATTGGGCTTCCTTAACTAAAATAATTTTTTTAATTTATTTTCGAAATTATTTAATTGGTTAAACTGGTCAGTATTTTCTGCCCGTTTTGTGTAACAACCCACTACTCATAGTCATTAAAATTCTACGTTATTCTCTGAACATGGAGGAGACCGTTACATCCAGTTTGCCTATATAAACCCATGTCTTATTTTGGGAAAAACACACATAAAAGAAAATAGAAAATCATCTTATATGAAATTTTCTTTCTCATATTCTAAATTTTTAATACTTGGGTTTTTATATATATTCTGGAGTACAATTGAGAGTTCTAAAAAATCATTTGTGATTGTTGCACAAGTGGTTTATGATCGTTGTATCCTAGAAGTGATTGTCCACGGAAGTCGCAGCATTTATCGACGGGCAATTTCACTTTAGGACATCGTGCTTTCATGAGACGAGTTAGGCGATAAGTTTTATTTCTATATTTTACTATTCTACTTCTACATGTTACAACAACTGATTATTTTCTCCAACAGAAATAACAGAAAGCTAAACTCACTATCGCTGTACCGGTGAGCAGTTCTGGCGCTTGCTCTCTCTCTCTCTCTCTCTCTCAAACTACTAACAAACACTAAAGAATTGGAAAATTTTGCTGTAGTTGCTGATATTGTATGTGTGTGTGTGGTGTTTCAGTGATAGGTGATTATAGGATTTTGGATGGATGGTGGCAGGTTTTAGATTTCAAGATTTGAGAACAAAAGGTTTGTAGTCCAAAGTCTCAAAGGAGATGACTCGCTATGATATCAAATTATGTCGGGTGTAATGGATAATTGTAAAAGAATGATAAAATGAAGGAGGAGAGAAAGAAGTGGGAGAGATTATAGAGAAATTGTGGGTGCGGGTGGATGATTGTAATGGTATAACCACGTAAGTTGACTTGGTTCACATCTCGGTTCGGCTTGGTTCAACAGTTAATAACTACGAAAATAAATTATTTTTTATAGGTTCAGCCGTCAAATTGGAAAAAAAAATAATAATTTATAAAACAAGTCAATGAAAACAAAAATACAATACTAAATCAATTTAACAAACAATATCCCAAATAAAAATGCAAACAATAACCCTATTTCAAAATACAAAATCCGAATTTAATAAACAATTTTCATAAATGTTTAATATTTGAGTAGCATATGGTGTAGGGTTAATGAGTTAGGTTCATTGGATTTAGCGGGTCAGTAATAGACCAGAATTTTGAACTGGACAGAATCATTTAAAGAATAATGGAAAGCTCAATTGCCCAATTAATATTTTTTTTAACGAGTAATCGGTTCGGGGTAAATACCATACTCGTCCCGCCCCGAATTGGAGCATTAAAATCAAATATAATATCTATTCCATTGCGCCATTGGTTCGACTTTTTTCACCCCATTCAGTTCGATTAATCACCATTTTCGATTTTGATAATTCGTATTGCCATTCCTAGTACTCTGTGCTGTCTTCAACAAAGCTCTCATCTTTTGCACTTTATACTATAAAAAAAGACCCCCTAGCTGGCAGGGATGGAACCATGAATTTATGTTGGGAGCGAAGCTAGGAATTTCTAGCATCTTATTATTGTATTTGAATAGTAATTTTCATTTGAACATACTAATTTAAAATTTTGAATTCTCAACGATATAAATACAAGCGATTTACCCTTGAATTGCTTCATTACATGCAAAAATATTGTAATAGTAAAATTAATCATGAATTTCGTAAAAAGTAATAATAAATGTTGCTAGTTTTTATAAATTGTGTTTCCCCCCAGCATTAATAGCTTTGCAAAAGAAATTCATGAACAGAGTATCATTCTCTGATGCTCACACATTGACATGGTTGTCGACAAACTGTAATTTCGGTCTGAACCTTTAGAGAAAAGTCTAATTTAACATAAATAACTCTTTCACGAGACGAGTTTAAAATGAGGAAATAATTTCCAAAAACTGTGCTTTTAAGCTCAGTCAAACAGCTTTTATAGAGGAAACCAAAAATTGGATTTACGAGTTTACAATGCGAGCAAGTGCATCTCCAGTTGAAGCAACTAACGGCATAGCACTGTGAGGAGAACAGAATCCAATTCCCAGTAGCATTTGAGTTCATTGCTTGATAGTGTTCTGGGATAAATTGATCTTATACGATCGAAATTTCCTTTCAGCTCTCACCTGTTGTACCCGCCTTTCATCCTGCTCGAATTTGCTCTACAGCATCATAGAAAAGAGAGGTGGAAATTATATGAATATATACTGTTGAAAAAATATTGTTCAAAATCAATAAACATGTGTGTGGAATGAAAGCGAAACGAAATGGAATGAAAAAACCCGAAACGATGGCTCATTGTATGTGCTATGCGACCGCGTGGTAGCTGGCCATGCGAGGTAGGAAATATGGGGCCGTGACACTGTTGAACCATGCAACCACATGGTATTGTATCATGCTGTCGCATGGTACTTAGAAAATGGACGTTGGAGGCCGTTAAGATTTAAATTTTTTGGCGATTTTTTCACAACTCTACAATATGTTTGGCACCATTTCGTGGGATATTGATCCAGATCTATAAATAGGTGATGGGGGGATCAATGCAAACATTGAAAATCATATTACAAACATATGAGAAACATTATTTTCATTCCACAAAAAGGATCAAACATCATTTCTTCCATATTCAATTCTTCCATCTTGTGTTCTTCAAGTTCGGGTAGAAAATCATTTGTGCTTTTGTGATTTCTATAACAAGGCTTGATCAATCCTTCAAACCGTTTGTCGCGAGACCCTTTAAACACCAAAACTGTTACCGAGAGGGTACAAACATCGTTTGAGGACAACAATATAATGTTCTGTTTGAGTCTTTCGTTTTCGGTTTGTTCTTCACGTTTATTTCATCTTCTTGATATCACTTCTATGTTGTTTCTTCTCCAACCCCGGTGGCGATAATTACCCAACAATCTCAAACGATATGTATGCGACAGAGAATGAAATATGGTGTCGATCAAGTTGATGGATCGAGATCATGTTCGTGTAGACTGTTTGATGACACTAATTTCATGGGAAGGTTCGACTTGAAGAAAGATATGCTTTTATTCAAGAATAAAAAAAAATGAATCCAAATTTATGATTTCGAACTTGGTAATTATCATTTCGCATTCTCAAACTCCACTTTCGCTAAGTCGAAATTATGTTTGATCCTCGCACATTGAAAATGTATGTTTGTAAATATAATATGCATATTATCAATGTAATATGATTTTCGATTGTGCATAAATAGTCGCATGCGTTCTTAAAAATGTTCACGAAAGTGGTAAAAGGAAGAAACTGTTTGATGGCCATATCACTTTATTCCGAATCTGCATGCATGCTGTTATACAACATTGAATTGACATAATTTGTCTGGATGTATGATGGGTTCTCAGTCCACAAACCGTATATATATTTCAACTGCATGATCCTGGTAACTAAAGGAATGTAGTGACTGCTTTATTATTTAATTTCATGTTCCATCAAAATGTGAAAGTGACTGCAAAAGTGCATTGTTTCATGCATATAATCACTTTAGTTAATTGATAAGTTGATTTAATTTTGAAAAGGTGCATGTGGTTCAATTATTAAATGGCAACTTTACATACAGAAGTTATTAAATGGCAACCTTTCATGCAATTGTGGTGGACACATGAATATGAATTTGAAATGCCAGCCAATCATTGTATTCTTTCATGTTTATATTGCTTCAAATTCAAGAAACAAACTTATTC